CCACAGACACACACACACACACACACACACACATACGCACATACACAAACATGTAACCATCTGAACGTGTACCAGCGTGTATACCCAATCATTTGGGTGCTGCAGTGTTAATGTGCAAGCTGCGTGGTTCAACGTTCGTGGTGAACTCTATATGTGGTGAGAGCACACACACATACGCACATACACAAACATGTAACCATCTGAACGTGTACCAGCGTGTATACCCAATCATTTGGGTGCTGCAGTGTTAATGTGCAAGCTGCGTGGTTCAACGTTCGTGGTGAACTCTATATGTGGTGAGAGCTTTGTGAGGCAACACTTGTGGTGCAGCAGATGCGGTGGCAGCTATGTGGTGCAGCATGTGCGGTGGCGAGCTCTGTGGTGTCAGCTGTGCGGTGCGGGCCAGGCAGCGCAGCCTCTGCGGTGCAAGCCGTGTGCAGGCGACGTGCTGCAAGCTGCACGGTGCAGGCCGCGCTGCGGAGGGCGTGCGACGCAAGCTCTGCGATGCAAGCCCGGTGGCGCCAAGCTGCGCGGCCGCCCACGAGGCGGCCACGGGCGGCCACGAGCGGGGAGGAGGAGGAGGGGGAGGAGGAGGAGGAGGAGGAGGAGGAGGAGGAGGAGGAGGAGGAGGAGGGGAGGAGGAGGAGGAGGAGGGAGGAGGAGGAGAGGAGGAGAGAGGAGGGGGAGGAGGAGGAGGAGGAGGAGGAGGAGGAGGAGGAGGAGGAGGAGGAGGAGGAGGAGGAGGAGGAGGAGGAGGGCGCGGCGAACCCTCGACAAACCAGCAGCCCCGCACGGGGCGCCCGCGGGCGGGCGCGGGCCGCAGCGGGCGGCGAGCCCTCTCGGCAGCCCCGCCCCGCGCCCGAGGCACTCGCGGGGCGGCCACGGGCGGCGGCGGGCGGGCGAGGCCTCGGCAGACCCGTCGGAGCCATCAAGAGTCGCCGGAGCCCCGCGAGGGAACCGGAGCCTGGGCTCGGCCCTAGGCTCGGGAGCCTTGAGACGGGGGTCAATGCAAACGGGGGTCAGCCAGAGCGCCAGATCTTGCAGGATCCTGCGGAGCCAGGCTCCCGTTGGCCCGGGTTTGGGTGCAGGGTCCTGCAGGATCTTGCAGGATCCTTCGCATGGACCCGGGTTTGGGTGCAGGGTCTTGCAGGATCTTGCAGGATGCTGCAAGGCCTGGCTGACCCGGGTCTGGATTGACCCGGGTCAGAAGATCCCCGATAGGCTAGGTTCGAGCCTGGGTTGGAGTCGAGGTTTGAGCATCGGTTGGAGGCCAGGTTCGGCCCGAGCCCAGGTTCGAAGCTGGACTGCCGCCCACCCTGACGGGGGGGAGCCACAGCGGCTGGTTTCGGCTCTGGAGCGGAGCCCAGGACGGTTTCGGAGCCATTTCGGAGCCAAAACGGTGGAACGCAGGTTGGAAACAAGGTTCTGTCATAACCTAAGTCGAAAACTCGGTTTGATCTTAGGTTCAGTCCTAACCTACATTGGAACCGAGGCTAGGCCCTAACCTGGGTTCGAACCTAGGCCGTCGCCCCCCCTGACGGAGGGGCCTCAGCGGCTGGTTTCGGCTCTGGGTCGGGGCCCAGGCCAGTGCCGGCGACATTTCGGAGTCAAAACGGTGGAACGTGGGTTGAAACCTAGGCTTGAGTTCGGCGCTGACCTAAATTGGAACCGAGGTTGGAGCCTAGGTTCGGCCCTAACTTGGGTTCGAACCTGGGTCGGAACGCTGGAACCTAGATTCGGCTCCGGTGTGGAGCCCAGGGCAGTTCTGGAGCCATTTCAGAGCCAAAACGTTGAAATTTGGTTTGCAACCTGGGTTGGAGCCCAGGTCTGAACCCTCCCCTCCATGAAGGCCTCGAGGGAGCCTTGGAGCGCCTGCCTTGCCACCTGGCGACCCCTTGAAAGCCACGTCTTTGGACACCGCTCGCGGCTCGTGGGCGCGTACACCTTGCTGCTCGCGCTGTGCGGACAGCGGTGCTCTGGCCCGATGGCTGCGGTCCCCGGGAGAGCTTTGCAGGGGACAGGCAGGGACGAGCACGGGCAGGCGTGTTTGGTCTGCTGCAAAGTGATGGGAGGCCTACACCCAGCTCGCAGGGAGGAGAACCGTTCTCAGATCGGGGAACCGCGCGGGCTCTCCCTCGGGGGGGGGGCCAAGGAGTTCCAGGGAGGAGGACGGCTCTCAGATCGGGGAGCCGCGCGAGCGCTCTTCGGGGGGGGGCCAGGGAGCTCCCCAGGGCTTCTGACCTTGGCTGAGGCCACCCTGGACGCGCAGAGAGTTCCAGCGTCGCCTCTGGTGTTTGCTCCGGGAAGACAGCCCAGGCTCGAAGCTCGGTTCGAAGCTAGGTCCCAACCTAGGTTCGAAGCTGGGTTGGAACCCAGGTTGGAACCTAGGCTCGGCCCTGACCTAGGTTCGAACCCAGGTTCGGCCCTAACCTAGGTTCGAACCTTGGTTGGAGAGTAGGCTTGAATCTAGATTCGGCCCTGACCAAGGTTCGAACCTTGGTTGGAAACTAGGTGTGAGTCTAGGTTCGTCCCTGACCTAGGTTCGAACTTAGCCAGGTTAAAACCCAGATTCGAACCTAAGTTGGATCCCAGCGTCGGCCCTATGGAACCTAGGTTGGAACCTAGGTTCGGTCCTACGCGAGGTTCGAACCTAGAACGTCGCTCCCTCTGACGGGGGTGCCACAGCGGCTGGTTTCGGCTCTGGAGCGGAGCCCAGGGCAGTTCTGGAGCCCCTTCGGAGCCACATTGTTGAAATTTAGGTTGGAACCAAGGTTCGGCCCTAACTTGGGTCCGGACCTAGGTTGAAACCAAGATTCGGCTCTAACCTAGATTCGAACCTAGTAGGTTCGGCCCTAACCTAGGCTCGACCTCAGACTGTGTCCCCAGCGGCTGGTTCCGGCTCTGGAGCGGAGCCCAGGGCACAGTTCTGGAGCCATCTCGGAGCCAAAATGGTGGAACCCAGGTTGGAACCCACTTTGACCGTCTTGAAGCTGTCCTCTCCACTGCTCGTGCAAACATCCCACCATCCCACCCGCAACTTGGTCGCAAGACCTCTTAAGATAAGACCGTGACAGTAGGTACCAGATGGCACTTGGCCACGACACCGACGCCGACGACGACAGCGACAGCGACGACGACGGCGCCGCCGACACCGACTACGACGACACCGACGACGTCTCCAACGACTTCGACGACGACAACGACGACGACGACGACGACGACGACGACGACGACGACGACGACGACGACGACACCGACGACGACGCCGACGGCGACAACGATGACGACGACGACGCCGACGACGACGACGACGACGCCGACGACGACGACGAAGACAACGACGACGACGACGACGACGACAACGACGCCGCCAACGAAGACGACGACGAGGGAGGAAGGAGGACAACGACGACGACAACGACGACAACGACGATGGAGGAGGGAGGACGGCGACGACGCGAGCGACGAAGAAGGAGGAAGGACGGCGACCCCGACGACGACAAAGACGAGGGAGGAGGGAAGGCGAAGACGACGACAACGACGACGACAACGACGACGACGACGGCGACGAAATAGGAGGGACGACGACGAGACGCCGACGACGGACGACGACGACGACGACGAGGGAGGAGGAGGAAGAACGACCACGGCGACAACGACGACGGAAACGACCACGACGCCAAAGAGGACGACGACGACGACGAGCACGAGGAAAGACACAGGACGACGTAGGCGACAACAACGACGACGCGGGAGGAGGGAGGACGGCGACGACGACGACGACGACGACGACGACGACGACGCCGCAAGAGCGCGCGCGAACGCTTTTGTTGAAAATCCGTGTTGCGAAACCTTGTGTTTTTGTAGGTTTTTTGGACGCGCGATGTTGAAATCCTTCCGAAACCGATGGGTTTTGAAGGATTTCGGCGTACGCACTTCGTTTCATTTTTTTACAGAGGAGTCTCGCGACGGCACACGCGCAAAGGCGTTCGACAGATTTCGACATGCGCGCGCTTCGCCCGTTTGGTAGCATATTGTGAACATCTTGAACAACCAATGGCTTTGTTAAGATTTCGCAAGAGCTCGCGCATAAGCGTTTCTTAGCAAATCAGTGTTATGAAACCCTGTGTGTGTTCTACGTTTTTTGGAAACTCGATTGCGAAATCCTTCCGGCACCGAAGGTTTTAGAAGGATTTCGGCATGCGCGCGCGACGACGCGCGCGTGTGCACTTCGTCCCATTGTTTCCAAGGGATTCGTGAAAAAGTGCGTTGTTAGAACAAAAAACGCCACCGCATAGTGTTTTTTTTGCTAGGGAACCTCAGGGGGGGGATCGAGGTTGGCCTGGGACATTGTGATTTCATAGTTAGGATGGACATGTGGTCAGAATCATATGTGATCTACATACCCGAAAGGAGGGCGATAGCTCCGGGGGGGGTAGAGTTTATTCTGTTTTTAGAAAGGAGAATCAATTATCAATCTGACTGTGTTACAAAATCAGCCAGCCAATATCGAAGAAGTCGCAGGCGAAGCGCCCGCGCCCACCCTACTGACACGTCTGGTGCTGCGATGAGAAGGAATTCCCATATCAGGAAGATGTATGATGGAGGAGGAGGAGGAGGAGGAGGAGGAGGAGCTCCTCCTCCTCCTCCTCCTCCTTCTCCTGCCCCCCTCCTCCTCTTCCTACTCCTCCTCATTCTCCTCACCCTCATCCTCATCCTCATCCTCATCCATCCCTCCTCCTCCCTATCTCCATCCATCTATCCCTCCCCCGTCCCCCTCTCCCTCCACCACCGCGTCTCCCCTCGTCTTCATCTTACCTTCTCCTATCGTCCTCCTCTCTCTCTCTCTCTCTCTCTCTCCCCGTCCTCCCCCCTCCCCACCCTCGTCTTCCTCGCCCCCCTCCCCCTCGCCCTCCTCCCCTCTCGCCCTCCTCCCTCCTCGCCCTCCTCCCTCCCTCGCCCCCCTCCCTCCCCGCCGCGCCCTCCGCTCCCGCCTCCACGGAGGGAGCCCCGGCGGCGCCGGCGGCCGCGCCGCCGCCGGCGCAGCCGGGGGCATCCGCCTGGTGGCGCGAGCAGCCGTCGGACGCCCCGAGGAGGCAACGCCCCCTGGGGGGGGTTCCTCGCCAAGGCGGACGTCTAACTCGAAACTCCAAGCCCCGAGATGCTGTGGTCCAGTCAAGAGGAACAAGGACCCCTGAGACGAAGGGTGTCTGGAGTCTAAGACCCCACGCCGGGCTATTCGCCAGCGTGGCAGCGCGGGGCGCCGAGTGCAAAGTCCGAGTCGGGCGTTTCGTTTGGCCTCCCAGATGGGGGCCGAGCACCCCGACCCCCTCGGGTGGTGAAAAAATCACGCCGGGAGGCTTCGGAGCACTTTCGGCATCTGGAGGCTGTCGCCGGCTCGGGGCCGTCAAAAAGCGGCTCGGGATGAGAAACCGGTCCCGGGGAACGGGTCGAGACCTCTGAGGGTCGACGTCATGAAAAAGTCATGACGTCCAGGGTGTGGGTAGATTGGGTCGGAGGATCGCGCCGCATCGCCGATGCGTCGCCAATGCGGCTCGATGTAGTTCCCCATTCGCTTCACCTCGACGTCGGCGATGCATCGCCCACGTCGACGGTGCATCTCTGGTGCATCACCGATGCATCGCCGATGCTTCGCCGATGTATCGCCGATGCGGCGCGATCCTCCGACCCCATCTACTCGGACCCGATTTGATGCCTCTAGTCCAAAGTCCGAGTAAATGGAATCGGAGTAGATGGGGCCTCCTAGATGGGGTCGGAGTAGATGGGGTCGGAGGATCGCCGATGCATCGGCGATGCATCAGCGATGCGGCTCGATGTGGGGCCCAATTTTCTCCACGTCGACGTCGCCGATGCATCGCCAACGTCGCCAGTGCATGGCCGATGCATCGCCGATGCATCGGCCATGCGTCGCCGATTTTTCAGCGACACGACGAGATCCTCCGACTCCATCTTCTCGGACCCCATCTAGGAGGCCTCAAGAGTTGGGCGTTTCGTCATGGGGCGGCGATACGGTTGGGAACTTTGGCTTAGCGAGTAGCCCCGCTTGTTCTGGCTCACCGCGCTTCGGCGCGACACGGTCCACGTCCTTGTCCCCACGCGTCCATGTCCCGAGTCTTTGCCAGCCTCCCGCCTCGCAGAGCGGAGCGACACGCGAACAGCTCGCAGGGCATAGCGTGTCGCCAGGGCCGCCGTCGCGACATGCTGAGCGAAAGCTCCCGACGGTACATGGGGCGATGCTCTCGGAGGTTCCTTCGCGGCTCCCCGAGCTGCCTGGGCCCGAACCGGAGGAGGTGGACGAGGAGAGGGTCGGGCGCTTCGCCTTGGGGGTGCGACGAGTGGTGGGGGGGGGAAGGGGAGGATACAGCCGGACCGAGGTATAAGATCAAGGTCGGTTCGGGGAGGGTGCACTGGTGTTCTTCGTGTCTGTTGGGTGCTCCCGTGCATCCTGGGGAGGGTACCCTTGGGTGGTCGGCTCGTGTTGGCCGACGGAGGGTCTCGTCATGTTCTTGAGGGATGTTCTTCTGGTCCAGGTCCAAGTGCAATTGTTTGGGGGCGAGTGACCTATTCGCGGGCCTTTTGGGGGGAACCTATATATCTATATATACATATATATATATATATATGCGTGCACAGGTGAATGTGTATATATGTACATATATGTATATATATATGTAGATCTATATATATATGTGTGTATACATATGTTTGTGGATATGCTCAGACGTACATACGTACATGTATACACACGTATGTACACGTCTGTGTATGCACACACATCCGCGATATATACACATATACATATAAACAAGCAAACATACACACATGTCCACACATACATGCATACATGAATACATATGTACGTACACACATGCATACACACATACATGCATGCAGCCATGCATGCATACATACATGCACACATACACACGTGCATGAATACATACATTCACACCTACACACAGACAGCATATAAGCATACATACAAAGATACATACATGCATGCATACCACCATATATACACCAGCATGCATGCATACATGCATATTTAAATTATATGCCTACATGCACCGCATGCACGCATACATACATACATACATACATACATACGCATGCATACATGTATGCATATACCTGCATACGCACATACATACATACATGCATGCATGCAGGCGTGCACATATGCATACATACACATATATACATATTTACATGTACACATACATGTATACATGCATTCGTACATACATGCATGCCCGCATGCATGCATGCAAGCATACATACACACCTATATATGTATGTCTACATGCATGCATACACATATATGTGTGCGTGCGTACTGGCATGCAAACGTACGTATATACATACATATACATATACATACATACATACATACGTACATGCGAACATACATGCCATCATGCATACAGACATACAGACATATAAGGTATATACTCACATACATGCACGCATGCATGCAATCATACATACTACGTACAGACATGCAAACATACATACATACATGCATACATCCATACATACATACGTACATACATACACACATACATACATGCCTGCAGACATACATGCAATCATGCATGCATACATACATATAATGGATGTACATACATACATGCATGTATGCATGCAACCATACATACTTACGTACAGACATACATGCGTATATGCGCACGTATACCTACATACACGTGCATACACGCATACACGTATACATACACACACGCACATCTCTACTCTATAGAAATATCGGAGTAGGCCGCGGGCGGCCTCGGGGCCAGGGCCCCGGCGACGCCTCTGGCCGCCCCGGGGTCCCCCGGCGCGCCCCCAAGCGACCCTCCAAAAGAAAAGTGGCCCCCTTGGGCGCTCCGAGTTTGATTCGCTTCCTAAAGGGACGCCCGCGAAAGGAACTTCTGAGACCGCGGCGTTGCATCTGAGACTTCGACAAGTGCGAGCGACAGCGCCATGCGGCAGCCC